CGCTGCCTATCCTTGCATGGTTACCTTTCAGTGGTATCGGAGCCAACGTACAAAACTATAGTTTTACGTTTGACTTTTAAAATTTTAAAAGTCAAAGTTTTAACTTGGTAATTATTAAAATTCAAAAATTGGTAAAATGATTTTATTTAGTCTTGGAATAAGTATTGGACTTAAATAAATCATTGAAAATGAATTTTAAATTTATTTATTTTATTTCTACCCGTAATATATATATAAATACATATATTTTGATTTTTCGAAATATATATTTATATATATTGTAGAAATAGTAAATATAATTTTATTTGGACATAAAACATTATTTTATGATTGATAAAATTATATTGTAATTTTTGAATGTATTATTTCCTATTTTGAATTTATTGTATTTATTTAGGTGAAAACCGAAAATAAATATGGGAAAATTCAAAATGAACTTTATTAAACTTGGAAATATTATTTCTAAGTTGAATAAGGTTGTTGGTAAATATATTGTTCAAAATAATATTTGTTAGTAATTAAATAAATATATATTTATATATGTACTCGGTTTTATTACCGAAATATTATATATATTTATATATTTGTATTTTATTTACATAAATGACTAATATATATTTTGGAAAGTTATATCTCAGTAAGAAAAAGAATGTTTTTCAAAATATTAAATTTTTGTAATTTAATATTTTCGAAATCAATTTAAATGGCTTTTTATAACTTATTGAGATTTAACTAATATATTTTGGAAATAATGATTTATAAATTTTGGAAATTTAATTTCCAGGTTTATAAATGTTAAAAATAGCTACTGGAAGTTGAAATTTAATTTTCATGATTTTTGCAAAATTGTTTCAAAATATTAATGGCCTTTTGAATATAATTTTGCAAAAGGGCATTTTGGTCATTTGAAATATTCTGGAATTTTTTTATGCTGGCCGAATATCCAGATTATATAAAATGATTGTATAAAATTTTATTTGATTTATTTGGACATCTAATTTAATTTTATGAGTTTTAGAAAATATTTACTGCCGTAATATTTTTCTAGAACTGTCTGGGGTGAGCGCGGTTCACCCGGTGTATGTATATCTCTATTGCTTGTGTGGATGTATTATATGCATGGTGGATGATTGTGGCTATAGTTTATTTGATTATAATAGGGCCTGCGTGTCGTGCCTTATCTCATAAACTCTTGTTGTAAATCTATTTCTCTCCCTTACCTCAACCGAGGATTCTTTTCTTACGTGGTGGTTAGAAGACGAAAAGATTTGAAGACCGTTTGAAGAAATCTAAAAGAATGGAGATAGCCCGAAGTCCAAGTGACCGGAAGCCAGTGGGAGCTATCGTTTTATTTTTCTTTTAGGGGCCACAATCATTACACGTTTATTTANGCCAGATTGGCCATAGTGCAAGTGGGAGATTGTTGGAGTTGTGCCCTGATGGCCAACTGTTTATCATTATTCTATCATCTATAGGCAGATATAATATGTTTACACATCTCATGCTAATGTAAACAAATATTATATTCCTAGATTTATATTTAAAGATGTTTATCAGATAGTGTTATTCTGCTGATGAGACTAACATCTTGAAATAAATATTTATCTGAATGTCCATAGTCAAGTATTAACGAGAGTGGGATATCGTTAATGCATGTGAGACTAGTGTGTGTTGGATGTTTGACTTAGTCTCATGGTCAATGACGGTGTGTTCGCATCCGCACATGGGCAGATATTATCTAGAGATAATAGGATGCCGGACTGACCCATTCTAAAGATGTTGCTTGAATTTTTAGTTCATGCTCTAAGCATCTTTAGTGCGACCACGGGTGTAACTATCCTTTGACTTGAAGTATTACGTTTTCTGCATATGTGAACCCGCATACTTTGATGCATTGTCCTAAGCCATATGAAATAAGGATGGTATACAAGCTTTGTTTTGGGTATGCCGCAGCGCGTATTCAGAAACGTAGATTACGTACATAGGATTTGTCACTACTCTTTTTAAAGAGATTAATGTCTTATGGGGCCCACTGATAAGTCATGACTGAGGAAACTGCATGGCCATGCTGAGATGCTTTTATGACGTCTGTTCCTATTAGTCAGCCTTGATAAATCAGTGAATGACTTAATGGATACAAG